TTCTATTTTCTTGTTTGACATATGGTCAGTCTGTTTCCCCAATAATTGTACCTCTTTTAAACAGTAAATATAGCTTTAGTTTAGTGTGATCAGTTGGTTCTGGACTTCCTATGACTGTTGCTTGTTTGTCTGGTTTCCATTTTTGGGGGGTTTTTTAATGCGATTCTTGATATTCCTATTTTTTCCTTCATTGTGTTATTGCTGCTGATACCCCTATGCAGATAACTACAGCATTGTTCAAATTTGTCTATGTATATTACCTTCTATTTTATTCGTCTCCGTACCATCACATAACTTCAGACTGTACATGGTGGCATGTAATTGGAATCAGACCTCATTTCGATTAGGTTCTAATTATATGTGGAAGTAATTATGCTTCCATTTACCAATGGAAAAGGTCAATAGTTATTAAAGTGAATATTGAACATTATAGTAAGTAGTAGCTAATGAGAATACACTTATGGAAATTTTTTTCACTTTAGCTGACTTGTAGTTGATTGATGCTTTCATGTTGAAGATATCCATGAACTTTACTTGTGTGATTTAATACGCTAACAATGTGCCTTCGTACATGATTATTCAGGTTATAGGATTAGAATAAAGGAGATGGATGATGTGGTAACTGACCTTCCGCCACCATCAAGATTTTTGTTGGAAGATCTCAACAATTTCACTCCTCCATCTCAACCTCTTCCATCTCCATTCCTAGTGTTCTCACTGGATTCCAATAAAAGCTTTCATCCATCACTTCTCATAGTTGCTATGTCTTCCCCATCTCTTCATTTTTTACACCACCTCTCCTTCAAAACTCTAATTGGCGCTCTTGTTCTTCCAGAGTTCGCTTTCTCTGGCAACACTGTGGAACCCTCACTTGGTGACAAATCATGCAATATATATGCCCTTAATCATTCTGATAAACTGATTATGATTGCTCTTGTTCAGTACTCTGTTACTGCAGAGAGATCCCATGAAGTGTCAAAGTTGCTGATTGGTGAACGCATCATACCTGAGAGGGTTTTGATTTTGGATTCTGTTCAAAGTCGTTACTTTCATGGTAAACTTTCACCAGATGACATATTTGCAGTCAAGTTGGAGACATCATTGGAAAGAAAAAGTTCGGATACTGGAGATTCACCGCTGATAAAAGGGTTGGATTATTTCTCATCAGGAAGTGTGGTGGACGGCCTGGCTGCTGCTTTGTTGAGTCGATGTCAATTGAAGAAGATCAAAGGGACTCTCTGTGTTTCATGGCCTCATTTCGGTATTTCAGTGATGTCACTGATTAAGTCGCTGCTGCTGAAGGATGTTCTGGCTGGCATAAATCCTAGTAGTGATATGAATTTGGAGAGTGGGTATTTAAGTTTTAGTCGTAGGAAGGATCTTCATCTCGATTCTGAGTTGTATACTTGATCTGCTAGATTTTAGGTTTTTCCATAACAGACTTATATCTCATTTTTCTTGTTGTCTTCCAATTTTCTTTCTTCTTGTATTTTGAGAAAAGCTTGCCTTTAAACCCTTCATGTATACGGATAATAGTTTTGAGAATGCACTTGTTTCTGTTCCTTATTTTTGTTAGACATTTGTGACCACATCATCATTGTGGACTTCCATTGAAACCTCATTTCTTGATACCTTTGGCTCAAAGTGCAGAGAGTGAAGTATCTTTGTTAAACAAGCAGTCTCGGGAAGATGCTTTCTACGGGTTGAAAGTCTCGACGCTATTGAATGTAAAAGAATTTCTAACTCGTTTGAATGAGATTGTCACCTTGCGGAAAAATTTGCTGCTTGTGGTGAATTGCTATGATCTTCTTATGAACGGATCGACCTTTGGCCATTCCTGGACAAGATTTATTTCTTGATTTTCTTCAATAATCACATTACATAACATTTAAAGGATAATCAACCAATTTATTTAGGTGTTATGGGATCTGAAATTACAATAAAGTGAGATTAACTGTGGTAGTTAATCAAACAGGCCTTTAAGCATAGTTAATTAATTAAATAATTAGAAGACAATGCGACAATGCGTCCAACTAACGAACTCTTATTGTTATAAAGCAGTTGAGAAAACTTTAGTAAATCTGTTCATAAACTTTAGTCAATAATTTATTTTTTCATCAATTTGGATCCTTGTTAGACAAGAAACCAACCCAAAAGGGTTTTCTTTTGTGTAAATTACTTGAAATGTTGGAAGGGTGAAGCATCGCCTTTTATAAGGGCTGAATCAAATTATAGAGTTTTACGGGGATTAACCTTTACAAGTTCAGAAAAGTATGAATGGTTTGGGTCTTATTTTTTGCCCAATTTTTAAGTTAGTACAGCACATTTATAGTTTCTTTTTGCCTTCGATTTATTTGGTAATTTTGGTTTGGGAGAACCCACCAACCAAGATCGAAGTAGTTACATCCTCTCTTGACTAGTGACATTTTTTGCATAATAATCTTCCATTTCGTGTCATTTATATAAACTAGGAATCTTCATCATTATGTCAAAAATCCGTTCATTGATCGATTGCTCTCACGTTCGTGTATTTGCTCATCTCTTTTGCTTGCAACTTGGAAAATTAATGGCTTCTTTTCTTCACTACAAACATATTGTTTTGCAAATATTAGTTCTTAGCATTGCTTGTTCATGTTTGCATGCAAGTGAACCTCCTTTGACATTAGATTACTACAAATCCACCTGCCCAACTGTTCTTGAGATTGTTAGGAAAGAAATGGAATGTGCAGTGCTGTCTGATCCGCGTAACGCTGCCTTGATTTTACGACTACATTTTCACGATTGCTTCGTCCAGGTCTTCATTCTCTTATTTTACTTCCATAAATCTTTCTTTATATAGATTGATATGCTATTGTACTATACAAGTTTTAGAAGATTCTGAGTACTTTTTTTTTTTTTTAATCATATAATATTGGAGCTGCAGGGTTGCGATGGATCGGTTTTGCTGGAAGATACAATCACGCTTCAAGGAGAGAAGAAAGCACCAGAAAATAGAAATGCTTTGAAAGGATTCAGAATCATTGATAGGATCAAGAACCGGCTTGAATCTGAGTGTCCCGAGAAGGTCTCTTGTGCTGATATTCTCACTATTGCTGCAAGAGATGCAGTTCTTCTGGTATAAGTGACCTAAATATGTCAGTAGCATCAGTTTATAATTTTGGGGAAAAAAATGATAATTTTGATAATAATAATATTTATTCTTGTGCATGCAGGTTGGTGGACCTTATTGGGATGTTCCCTTAGGCAGAAAGGACTCAAAAAAAGCAGGCTATGAGCTTGTAGAAACAAATCTTCCTAAAGCAAATGACGGACTTCTATCCATCATTTCGAAGTTTATTCATCAGGGTCTCTCCGTCACCGATATGGTAGCTCTTTCTGGTAGGCACCTCCCTATAACTCTCAAGACATTATTGGCATGTTTGGTAGTGACAATTCAATCGTATATAACAGTATCGAGATCTTGCGAGCAGGGACGGATTCAGGATCGGACTATAAGACGGGCTTTAAAAAAAAAACAAAAATTCCTCTTCTAAACTTCTTTTTTAACAAAAAAGAATTAAATTGTCTGGTGACTGGATAGGGCTACAGCAGCTATACCCCCTATATTCGTCCCTACTTATGAGTCTTAGCGAGCACTGCATTTTAAACATACAGTATGATCATTCGTAAAATTATGTTTTCTAGGAATAATTTTCCCAATCAAAATCATTGCAAAGATGACAAAATTTCGATTTGTGATTTCTGAATAAAAACTCCGCCTTGTTGAAAACAATAATTTATAGCGAATAACAGTTTAATTTCAAGAATCATCAAAAATGATATTCATTTTGGTGAAATTCTTTTGCAGGTTCACATACCATTGGAATGGCACGATGTGTGAATTTCAGAGAAAGAATATATGGAGATTTCACAGCAACTTCAGGAATGAATCCAGTTTCACAGAGTTACCTCAACAGTTTAAAATCTGTTTGTTCAGCTGATAGTAAATCAAATCAAAATGAATCAGCACTGGACCATGTTACGCCAAATCTTTTCGACAATTCTTATTATGACATTCTGTTAAGAGGAGAGGGACTGATAAATTCAGACCAGGAATTGTATTCCAGTGTTTTAGCCGTTCAAACGAAGAAACTAGTGGAGAAATATGCAGTAAACGCAATTGCTTTCTTCGAGCAGTTCTCCAAATCCATGGTTAAATTGGGAAATATAACAAACCCGGAAACTTATGTCAATGGAGAAGTTCGGAAGAATTGCAGGTTTGTGAATACATAAGCATTACATACATATTACCAGACTGTTTATGTCAATAAGTAAGGCTAAAAATTTGAGCCCTCTATTGATTCATTTTGTATTCAAAAGCGAAGACTTTATGTATGCGTTAAGCACACGGTTTTTAGCCGTTGTGAAGTGATACTACAAATCGAAATACAAGTGTATTATTTCTTGTGTTCTTTGTTTTTGTTTTCGCTTGATTCAATTTGCAATTCTATGACAATTTCTTTGAACTCGATAAGTGAGTTCACACTTAAATTGTGTTGATACTGTTGCGTTTAGAAAAATTCATTCGTGCAGAATCACATTTAAAACCGAACACACAGAAAGCAAAAATAAGATGAGGGAACACGAGATTTTTTGGCCCAAAGGCCCCGAGGTTCGGCGATCAAATCTAACGCCTACATCCCCGTTGAGCATCCATCAGGAATAAGCTCAAATCCACTATGAACAACCCAAAAACGGGCAAAACAGTCTCAAGAACACACAGTTACAAAACTTCTCAAAAACGAAAGATCTTCTCACAACAATATTGAACTCACACAAGAGTTCATCTAAATTCCTAATTCTCTCTACCAAAATCACACAAGATCTAAAGAGAAAACGAATCAAAAGAGAAGACGAACGAGCCTCTAAAACTCGAAGCTGTTGGGTTAAAAAACTCTTAACCCTAATAACCCCCTTTCTTTCCTTTTATATGAGAGTAACAATTTATTGACATCCAACGGTCCACTTCTTGCCACTTGTCTTGAATCCGGAAGAGTTGTTATTTCATAACAAAAACGCATTTCTGTTTTGCACTTATAACAAACCGACCCTAGTTCTGGAAGTTTCTTCACAATTCTCTAACTATCGTTAGAGAGCTCTTAAGAGACCTTCTAGAAGGTCTCGCTTTACCTGAATACTATTTAAATAGTATTCAGTCTATAAGCCCCCTCGGGGCGAGGGCTGGCAACCTCTTTACTTTCTATTAGATTATAAAAACGGAGGAGCCAGAAGTGACCCAAGAATAATAGGCATATGGAGCATAAGAAGGCTTTATTTAAAAGATCAAGGAATAAAAACCTTTATAGATGAGGGGGAGTTCCGACTATTAGATTAGGATTGATGGCGGCAGAAGTTGTGACAGGGTCGAACTTTCACACTCCTTGCTGCGACAAGCTGTTCTCTGGCTGTTGGTATTGCCCACCAAGTTTGGGCCACACTTCACAGTCCATTTAAATCAGCTGGGCCATACACAAAATCCAGCAAATCAATTCTTACAATCTCCACCTTTTGCTGCATTTTGTGACAGTACATAAGTGGATTTAAAATTTAAACTGACTTCACTTGCTCTATTTACCTGCAAAGAAAACAGAAGTTAGTATTCTTCAAGATTAATTAATCTCAAAGAATCTGAAAATTTACTAATAGGGATTACCTTAGTTCTGGCATCTGCTGGATTTACCTTCGTTGGAATTTTAACAAATCTAATATCACCCCTATCAAAGATATCTCTAATGAAATGGAACTTAACATCTATATGTTTAGAACTATCATGCAAAATAGGATTTTTACTAAGAAAAATGGCACTTTGGTTATCTGAACATAGCTCCACCTGATTTTCTATAAGTCCTAATTCACTAAGTAAACCCTTCAACCACAATTCCTCTTTCACTGCTTCAGTTGCAGCAATGTATTCAGCTTCGGTTGAAGACAATGCAACCAATTTTTGAAGTTGGGATTTCCAGCTAATGCATGTATTATTTATAACATAAAAATATACAGTTGTGGACTTCCTATTGTCCGGATTACCAGCAAAATCTGAATCTACATATTCATTAAGTCTAAGTCCATTTTTATTTGTTTTGAACATTAAACCTAAGTTACTAGTTCCTTTCAAGTACTTAATCAGATTTTTCATGCATTGCCAATGTATTTCACCTGGGTTACTCATAAATCTACTTAACACACTCACGGCATAAGCAATATCAGGTCTAGAGCAAACCATAACATACATAACAGATCCAACAGCATTAGAATAAGGCACATTTATCATTCTTCTATGCTCTTCTTCAGTTTTAGGTGATTGATCGACAGATAATTTCATACCAGCAGGTAAAGGCAAACTAACAGGTTTAGATTCATGAAGAGAGAACCTTTTTACAACCTTATCAACATAAGATTTTTGTATTAGAAACAACTTTCCATTTATCTTATCTCTTTTTATTTCCATGCCCAAAATCTTTCTAGCTGGTCCTAAATCTTTCATTTCAATTTTAGATTTTAGATTTTCTTTAATTAAATTAAGTGTAACATAATTG